CCCCCCCGCCCACCCCCGCCCCCGGCCACACACTCCCCCGGCCACACACGCCCCTGGCCACACACTTTCCTGACCACACACGCCCCTGGCCACACACTCCCCCGGCCACACACGCCCCTGGCCACACACGCCCCCGGCCACACACTTTCCTGACCACACACGCCCCTGGCCACACATTCCCATGGCCACTCACTCCCCTGGCACACTCCCCTGGGCACACTCCCCTGGCCATTCACGCCCCTGGTCACACACTCCCCAAACTCCACGGAGCTTTCCCAGGACACCGCAAAGACCCAAGACCATTCTGTGTCAGCACTGCATTGAGGGCAGGCAGGCACAGTGGTGCCTTCGGTGCAGAGCACACAGCGGCACCAATTCTTCCAGAGACGTTGCCTGGCCCTGCAGCAGGGGAGCCCGAGAACAAGCTCCTCTGTCACGGAGCTCCAGGCCTTTTCCAGAGGCCACTCTTGGTCCTCTGCCCCAGGGGCGGAGATCTGGCCAATGGCAACAGCTCTGCCTTTTGTTTGGGATCCGCCTACAGGACAGAAAATACAAAGCAGATCATTCAAGGGTCATTCAAGCTCACCAGTCATGTTTGTGAGCCCCAGCACAGCTCAGGGATTCAGAGTTAATTCCAGAGACATCACAAAACGACTTCCTCTGGTTTCCTGTCCCCATTGCCTGCCTGTCCCCATCCCACATCCTTCTGCCTGAGAGAGCTGTCACAGTTGCTTCCTCCTGAGCAGCTATTTTAAAAGGCCAGGCTGACAGATGCTGCGTCCCTCATGCCATGTCGCAGACAGCCCTCAACACCCAGGCCACTTCTCAGCCTGTACATTCACTGCCAAGGACGGGGCCTGACTTGGAGGCGCGAGTGTCATTCCTAGGTCTTTTCTTACCGTTTTAATAACCTGCTGACCAGGCCCTGGTTTCTATACCCTCTGGCTGTGATTACGATATGGACGTGAGTGGGAGGTGGACCATGCCATGTTTTCAACACCTTTTGGCTGTGATTATGATATGGACATGAGTGGGAGATGCTGCATTCCCACGTAGAGAATCAGAAGAGAGGGCCCGACAGGTAGCGTGGTGGTTAAAGATGCTAGACTCCCACATGGCCGGCTACAGTTCAAGTCCCGGACCTGGTGGCTTGTTTTCTCACTTTCCCTCTCTCTCTGTTTCTGTCTCTCTCTGACCAAACTTGAAAATAGTAACAATAAATAAATAAATAAATAAGTAAAATAGTTGTTAAAAAAAAAAAAAGAGTGAAGCAGCAGAGGATTTGATTGTGGAGAAGAGAGCGCACACAGGACCAAATGAGAATCTTGTAGAACTGCAAGGCCAAGGGCGCTCCCTCACACCGTGACAACCTGGATAATGGGGGAGGTTATGCCACTGGGTCCCTGGAAATTGTCCCTGCTTAAGCTGTGTCAGACCAGAACAGAGCTGTTCCAACTTTACAGAGAATCTGTGGCGGACAGAAGCTGTATAAGCCCACCTCACTGCTTCCCATAGAACAACAGGGACAGCGTGGACCTACATCGGTCCCCGCAAGCATTACTGCCAGCTCTCTGACTTGTGGACAATGGCCCTTCCCTAACCTCACGTTGTCATCATCGTCTTCACAGCTAGCATTTTTTTTCTTTGAGTAGTTACTTTAAGCCAGGTCCCAGGCTAAGCATTTACATACATTACGTCTTCAACTCTTCACAGTTACGTAAGGACTAATATTTCTCTCATTTTACACATAATCAGCTGAGACTTAAAGAGCTGAAGTAGCTGCCCAGATGCACATGTACGTATTGAGTGGTGTAGTCAGGGTTTACGCCTGATCTGTTTGATCGATGGAAACTGTTCTAGCCTACAAGAAAAAAAAAAAAAAATCACCTGCAGCAAAGCCTCAGCCTTAGAAAGCAGAGATTCCAGCAGAGACACAGGAGGAGATGAGAGAGACTTTCAGAAGTGAGGATTGGCATTTTCCTTTTGGGGCTGGCCACTGAACGAGCTAGAGGCCGGCTAGCCTTCCTGAGGAACACTGGGAGAGAAGCTCTGGATCTCTGCAGCTGCAGCAAACTTTCCTTGTACTCATCTGGCACGGAGATGGATGACAGAGGTGACTCCAGGCTCTGCTGACTGGACATCCCCACCCTGGACTCTTCTCTTTGGTTTTCTGCTCCTAGGGAAAACACCCAGGTTGGTCTCAGTCTCCTTGGGTCTCTGAGTGTCTCTTGGAAGTGAGACTTTGGCATTGAAGCCAAAGGGTCATCCTGGCCAAGATGAGGACCAAAGTAGCCCTAGGAGTGTTTCCATGACCTGTGGCCTGTATCTATACCTGAGCATTCTTCTCCAGGAGGGAGTAACTCAGAGCAGCCAGGCTCACTTCTGTGTAGATCAGGGTCCCTCTGCTGTGGTCAGTCCTAGGAACTACTGAGCCCCAGCAACAAGGAGCCAGGACATGCACCTCCATGGATGACCAACAGGGGGTGCAGTAGGCTCCAGCTCAAAACACAAAGCTGGGGCCCATCCATGGTATGGGGCGCTGGATCCCACATGGTCCATTGTGCAGTTAGGTCCCAGACCAGCGGCTTGGAAAATACACAGGCGCATGTGTGTGTATGCCCAAAATCCCAACGGGAGAGAAAAATGGAAAGACTGCATCATGGTTGTTCCTTATGAGAGGTGCTTTTCCACTTTTCCTCTTTTTCTGTCTCTCTGGTGATTGCACCTGTCCTCTGGCAAAAGTTTTAAGAAATTATTTTATTGAGACCAGCAGTTAGTGTAATGGCTATGTCACTGGACTCCCATGTAGTCGACTGCGTTTCGAGTCCTGGACCCGGTGGCTTAAACTCACGCCGGGCGCGTGTGCATGTGTGCCCAAGGTCCCGAGAGGAGAATGGAGGAGAAGAGATTGCGGCGTGGCCATCCCCCCTGGGGGATGATTTCTCGCTTTCTGTCTCTCTGTCTCTCTCTGTCTTTCTGGCGAGCGCATGTGCCCTATAGCAAAGAAAAAAAAAAAGAAATGATTTAATTTAATTTAATTAATTAATTTATTTATTTTTAATTTGACCAGAGAGGGGCAGAGAGAGAATGAGAGCAAGAGCAAGAGAGAGAGAGAAAAAGTGAGAAAGCAAGCTGCCAGGTCCAGGACTCAAACCGTGGTTGGCCAGGTGGGAGCCCAGTGCCCTTAACTACCATGCCACCTGCCAGCCCCCTCTGGCAAAATTTTGAAAAGAAGAAAAGAGAAGAGACGGTGGTGCAGCTGCTAGGATACGGGTGAGACCCACCATGCTGGGCTGGTGGTACCCTTCGTCAGGCTGTGGAGAAAGCCGGGCTCCTTCAACTGTGCTACAGATCGAGTATCCCGTATCTGAGGTGTCTGGGACTAGAGGTGTTTCAGAGAGTCGGAAGAAACCTTTCCCACCTGTGCATACCCAGCTAGGTTATCTGCCCCGCCCTGTGCAACCCACATCCTCAGGGACAACCACACCTGCCTCTGCTGAGCAGACAGCGAGCTCCTCGGGAATAGATGGGGGAGTCCTTGCTCTTCCCGGGGTCCCCCCCCTGTTCTTCCCTCACACAATTCTATGCAAACGAGGGGGGCCTGTAAATGTCTGCATCATGTTTATGTATCTATTCCCCAGCTCATCCCTTGAAGATTTGGAGGCAGTTTATAATTTTAATACAATAAAATAATGGTCACATTACAGTAAAATACAAAGAAAGTTATGCTTTGGAGAAAAGAGCAAAAATGTATAGCCGATGATGTCAAAATCAGTCTGGCTGTTCCTCAAAAAGTTTCACATAGTCATCACTTGACCTTAGCCACAGAAACCTGTATACTCGAATGTCCATAGCAGCACTGTTCACAATGGCCAAGAACAGAAACCGCCCAGCCCTTCACCAGCTGGTGAATGGATGAACAAGATGAGCTGTGTTCATACAGCGGGAGGCTGATTCATGCTACGACATAGGCTATTCTTGAAACATTAAGGGAAGGAAGAGAGTCACAAAGACCACACAGTATATGATTCCGTCATGTGAAATGCCCAGGATAGGCAAACCCGTGCAGATGGGAGTAGATTAGTGCTGGCTGGGGGGCACAAGGGAGTGACTGCTAATGAAGACAGTTTCTTTTTGGGGTGGTAATGTTCTGGTGTTAGAGTAGAAGGTTGTACAGCCTTTGTGTGTATACTGAAAATCAGGCCAGCAGGTAGCATGGAGGTTATGGCAGCTGGATCCCATATAGCTGACTGTGCTGTTCAAGTCCTGGACCCAGCAGCTTGAAAACCACACTGGGTGCATGTGCATGTGTATCCAAAGTCCCAAGAGAAAAATGGAAAATGGAGAATGGCGGCATGGTCAGCCCCCCTGTGGGGCGATTTCTCATTCTCTCTCTCTCTGGAAAGTACATCTGCCCTATAGAAAACTAAAAAAAAGATAAATACACACACACACACACACACACACATACACACACATATATATAAATATATAGAAACATATATAGAAATATAAATACATAAACATATATGCATACAAATACCACTGAATTACATACTTTGAAAGAGTGATATCGGGACCAGAAGATGGCATAATGGCTATGTTGCTGGACTCCCATGTAGTCAACCGTGCCTTGAGTCCTGGATCTGGTTACTTAAACTCACGCCAGGTGCGTATGCATGTGTGCCCAAGATCCCAAGAGGAGAAAGGAGGAGAAGGGATTGCGGCGTGGCCATTCCCCCTGGGGGGTGATTTCTCACTTTCTGTCTCTCTGTCTCTCTCTGTCTGGCTGGCGAGCGCATGTGTCTCTCTCTGTCTTTCTGGTGAGCGCACGTGCCCTATAGCAAAAGCCTCCCCCCCCCTGCAAAAAAAAAGGAGTGAATATCATGGTATGCAAATTTGTTGCAGATTGAATGTTTATGTCCCTCCCCCACCTTCATTACTCATATGTTAAACCCTAACCCCTTGGGTGGCTATATTTGAAGTAAGAAATTAATTAAAGATAAAGAGGTCATAAGACGGGCCCGATTTGATAGGATTAATGTCTTGTGAGAAGAGAATCTCTCTCTCTCTCTCTCTCAGCATTTGCTCACAGGGAGGCCGCAGTCCACTCTGCAGCCCCAGGGGAGCCCTCACCAGATACCAGCCCTGCCACCGACATCTTGATCTTAGACTTCCACTCTCCAGAACTACAGACAAATTTCTGCTGCTCGACCTATCCAGTCTGTATTTTGTTATGACATCTCAAGCAGACTAAAAATTATATTTCAATTTTAAAATATTTTAAAAATACATGCTGATAATAGCTTCGTACCTAATCTAGTTAAATTTCAATTTTCCCTGAGCTTCCGTGGTATGCAAAGCTATAAAAGAAAATGTCATCAGATACACACTTAAAGAAAAGAAGGCCATTTAGTCCTCGGAGGAAGCAAAGTTCTGAATAATTCAGCAACCCCAAAGTGTCACAGGGCCTGGGGGGTGGATGCTAGGAGTACTGAGAGTACTGAAGTAATGAATCAGTCAAGACAGGAGGCCGTGAAGGTACGTTTGAGCAGCCACTTAGGGAGATAAAACAAGATGCTGCTGGCATTTTATCCAGAGTGCTGTGGGCAGGTGGAAGGCGTCATTCCTGGGAAACAGTCGGAGACTGTGAGAGGAGCCAGAGTGTGGGCAGGATCTGAGGGGCCACTTCCTCCTGAGCCAGTGTTGTTCTGGCAGTGCCACTGTCCCAGCTGCACCCACGTGATGTTGCTTGGGTAGCATCATTCCTTTCTTCTGTTTTCTAGTCTCCTATTACTCAGCAGTCTTGTTCGCTTTTTAAAAAAGTTGTGCTAGCAGGCATGTGTGCTCACCAGAGAGAGACAGAGACAGAGAGAGAGGGAAAACAGGGAAGCACCTCCCCCATGGGGGTGGCTATGGTGCAATCCCTTCTCCATCTCTCCTTTTGGAATTTTGAGCATGCATGCACATGCTCCTTACGTGTTTTTCAAGCCACTGGGTCTGGGGCTCCAGCTGCACAGCCAGCCATGTGGGATCCAGCCCCTTAACTACCACGCCAGTGGTCAGCCCAGTCACTCGTTAAAAGCAATGCAAGAAGACCTGTCACTGCACCACGTTGGAGGTGGGAGAAATTCAGCTTCCTAAATCAATACGAGGACTTCGAAGACCGAGATGATCATCGCAGAGCCTCGTCACTCATGTCTAGAACCAGAAGGCAAACGTGAGAGGACAGACAGAACTTCTCACTACCCTTCAGTTTGTTTCAGGCAAACAAAACCTAGAATGCGGCTATTCTGGCCCTGAAACACCAGAGGGCGCTACTGCACTGTGGCTAAGCCAGAAGCCACCTCGTCCTTACGTGGTAACTTGCTCAAGCCAGCTCTTGGGGGAGGGGGTTGTCGCTAGCTGCTCCAGGGAAGGCAGGTTTTCAGGGGACGACCCTCAACTTTCAGACGGGAAGAACCTAGCACAATCTCATACCAGGGCATGGAAAGTCAACAGAGTACAATGGAGCACAGCCAGGGAGACTCCCAGAGCACTTAAAATACGCTCGCCCAGGCTCGGGGAGGCCCCTGTACCCGTATCCAGCCTGCTGCTTGCTGGCTTGACACACCTGAGCTCCCACCCCTTTTCCATGGCCTGACTCTCCCTGGGGTCTCTTACCCTCTCAGCCCTGCACGTAGGATCATGAGCTGCACAGGGGGTAGGGAAGGGAATGGATAGTAGTGTCCAATCCACTGGGCAGGCCTCTCCTGCAGGAGGCCTGGGGTGTGCTCTCCCTGCCTGACCCGGTCACAAAGGGGAGAGAGACTCCAAGCCCCTGAAGCACCCTTTGTCACTGGAAACGAGGCCTCAGTGTTGGCTATTCCCAGAACCAGGGGATGCCACTACCTGGCACAAATGCCAACCTTGCTCCCAGTCCCAGCGACAGGGCTCCTCTGGCTTCCCTGTGACTCCCTGTGTCACAGGTCATCAGGTCTGCCTGTGATAGGGGTCTGCAGGCCTGGGACAGAGTCCTCCTTCTGGGGCAGGCCTGCTTAGTTTCTGGTATGGGTCTGGCTGAAGCAGGGTCATACATTGGGCTCTTTATAGGAAGGATCGCCACAGATAGATGGATTTAGGACAGGAGAACATAGGCTTTGCTATGTGACCTCAGGGCCCACGGGACATTCAGAAGTTGTCATTTCTGTCCCAAATTCTTGCAATCTCTTGTTTCTAGCTCCTCTGGCCTGAAGCTCCCTGTACCCTCTACCAGAATGATCTTCAGGAAAATCTTGCCCCCTCCTTCTCACTGCTGGGAGAACAGCCTCCCTCTTGCTGGGGCCTGGCTGGAGTGTACCATCTGCTGGAATCATGCGGCTTCAGCATGCTCGTCCCTCCTCTGCCATGCCCTCCTCCCCTCTGCAAGCACTGAGACTGGGCCCATGGCAAGGGGCTCTTCACAAATAATTAAAGGAGTGGAATGTGAACCCTCCATCTTTGGCAGCCTGACAGAGGATGCTCACGCCTTCCGCTAATAAAGCACAGCCTCTCCAAAGCCGGAGGATCGTCCAGCCTCTCCACAGCAGAGTCCCCTAACTAGACTCATGCTTTTGCAGCAAGACGGCCAGATTATGTGAGAGGGGCACTATTATCGGTTACACTGTGACAACAGGGGTACACTGGGACAGGGCAGAGCCTGCCAGAATGTGCTGTCACATCAGAGATCTAGGCATTGCTGTGTGTCATCCCAGAGGTGCCCCTTGGAGACCCTAACTCCAGGGGATGACCCTCATCCACTTGCCTGGCACTCGCCTCACTTCCTCCCAGGAGAAGGTGAGGGCCCTGGGGCCTGGTCATGGCCTGGTAGCTGCCGAGTCTCCCTCATGCCTCCTGCTATTCCTGACAGCAAGGCCGCCACTGGAGACAGGCCTGCTATCAGCGTGGTGCTGCTCGTCCTGCGTGCAGCTGATATGCTCAGTGGGTGGGCTCTGACTCAGCATGGAGCAGACCTGCCCCACGATGGTGGCCAGCACCAAGTCCTCCTGTCTAGCATGTGCCTCCCCACCTGTGTACCAGCCACACCAACTGCCCCAAGCCCCTTCATAGGTCACCAGGAAGAAGCTCAGAGCAAAGGCACCCCCAGGCCACCCCTTCTTCAGAATCCCCTCCTCTGTGCCTCTCCCAAGCCCTGTGCCCCAGAATGTGCCTCAGTGATTGTATGGCTGGTTCTTGCCCGCTCTGATTCCCCACTGCATTTTAGGGCCCTGCACAATGCAGGCTCCCCGTGAGTGCCCGCCCAGGCTGTCTGACTCAGAGAGCACGTGGGACAGGATAACCCCCTCCCCAGCCCACACAGAGCTGAGGCTGATCAAGCTGTGAGGCACAGCCCAGGGGCCTCCTCTCTCCTGGCCTTTCGGGGTTGAAGGCAGAAACCCCGGGTCTCAGAAGCCACTCCTACCTAGGATGAAGGCTACCACGTAGTTGGAGATCTGGCCCATGCCCACGATGACAAATAGCACAGTGAACATCTCCCAGTTGATGGAGAAAATCTGCAGGAAGCTGAAGCCAGTCTGCACAGCCATGGTTGCAAAGAGAATGCTCTTCCTGCCAAACCTACAGAACACAGTGGGATGCAAAATGTGAGACGTGTAGGTTGTTGCAAGGCTGTTACTCAAGCTCCAATCAGGCATCTGCAGACTACCCTCCCACACACACCCCCTCCAAGGGCTCTCACGGACTTTTCTCCCTGACACAGACTCCCAGCTTCCTTCTTGGTGAGGCCCCAGCTGTCCGTCTGCTCAGGTGATACCTTTTGAGATTCTAGGCTTACTGTGAAGGCACCAGGACCTGGAGTCACCTGGAAAGCTTAAAAAAGACTAATGCCAGCACTTTGCTTCCTGAGATGCTTACTTATCTGGGATGGAATCTGAGTACTGGGATTTTTTTAGTTTCCCAGAGGGGCCAGCAGGTGGCGTGGTGGTTATGGCACCAGACTCCTACACAGCTGACAGCGGTCCACGTCCCAGACCTGGTGGCTTGTTTTATCACTTTCTTTAATTTTTTTCTATCTCTCTGCCTCTCTCTAGTGAGCTCATGTGTCCTGTAGCAGATTTTTAAAAATAACTACAATAAATAAAAATAAATAAGCTTTTAAAAAGTTTCCCGGATGAATCTAATACGTAATCAAAATTGCAGACGACTGCTCTAAGGGAAGATAGAGCTTTCGTCAATGTCTGTTGGCGACACTGTACCTGGGTTAAGTGTTCACTTCACATTTTGGTAGTGACCAGAGGGTAGAAAGGAGCACAGGTGTGAGAACGGCCTCCTGGCCTATTTTCCAAATGTGGGTCTCAGGCTGGGGAGCGGGCAGGGACCCGCACCGCTCTGGGAAGCCTCTGAGGACACAGTCTTTCAGCACTTGCACCTTCCTGCTCTGCTCACCACAGGACACACAGGGGCAGGGATGTGTTTCCTGCACCCACCACTCCAGGAGGCCGCAGCAGCCCGGCTGTCTGCGGATTTGGCACCCAGCCGCGGCAGTGGGCGAACTGGTGCCCCCTGTCCAGCATGACCTAACAGCTGTCCATGGACAGATCACATCATCCACCTCTTGCCCCGGACACAACTCGCAGAGGTGAGGTTAGGGCGGGGAGGGCAGCACCGTGTTTTACGAAGGAGTTTGTGGTATGAGGGCCCCACTTTCCAGTGGGCCAGTGGCCTCTCCCTGACCTTGGCCAAGGTCCCGGATGTACAAGGGAGAATGAACAAAGGTAGGTCCAGGCAAAGGGGCGATGGCAAGATGAACGGGAGCTGCTCCTATCCCCGAGGCAGGGACCCGAGGAGTTCCCTTTCTCTGGGTGCAAACATCCTGAATTCAGTCAACCTCAAGAAGGGCAGTGAATGGCAGGGACCCCACCCCACATTCCCTCCTTCCCAGTGTCCTTACCTGTCGGACAGCTGCCCGGACACAAAGGAGCCAAGGAGTACGCCGACAAAGAACAGGGAGGCGGTGAGGGGCGTCTTCCAGTCATCGTCACACACCAGATTCCACTGCCAAGGAAGACAGCGTGGAGAGTGAGCCAACCCTGCAGCAGGCCCAGCCCCGCCCAGGCCGAGGGGATCTTAGCACGGCTGCCAGCCAGGCCCTCCTCCCCTGGGCCAGGCTGTGGTCTCTGTGAAAGGGCACAGGCCTGCAGCCACAGGGTGGATTCCTGGCTCTACTGTGTATTGGGGCCACTAACCTGGGGGATGACACTGCTGTCCCTGAGACTCAGCCTCCCCTTCCAAAAGGGAGGGAGACGGCTCCTCCTCTGCTTATATTACAGCAAGAAACGAGCTGAGGCCACGGCTGGGACTGGGGATCCCTCACCTGGGAGGCTGTATGAAGCAAAGTTGGCATTGCCCCTTCAGCTCAGGGCCCAACGGTGGTACAATTGGTAACAAACTGAACTGCAGGCTGGAAGCCATATGGCCAGCTGCCGGTTTGGATCACAGAGTTGGCCTGAAACATGCAGCGTGCATGTGAGCGTGTGTGGCTGTGATCCCGATGAACTGGAGGGTCAGGGAAGGGGTGGTGAAATGATGAGACTGTCTAAAGAGGTCCTCTCTCATGCGTGTGCATGCAATCATGAATAAAATAAATACATAAACAAAAGCTAAAAAAAGAAGAAAAGGCAGTAACCCACAGTGGAGGGAAGGTGTTTGAGAAGTTGAAGGGTGGGGCATAGGGCACAATTCTTGGTCCATGGGTAAAAATGTCCTCTCCTGGGAATAGCAGTTAGCGTAATGGCTATGTTGCTGGGCTCCCATGTAGTCCACTGCGGTTCACGTCCCAGACCCGGTGGCCTAAAACTCACACCGGGCGTGTGTGCGTGCGTGCCCAAGATCCCAAGAGGAGAATAGAGGAGAGGAGATTGTGGTGTGGCCATCCCCCCCGGGGGGTGATTCCTCGCTTTCTGTCTCTCTGTCTCTCTCTGTTTCTTTCTGGCGAGTGCGTGCGCCCTATAGCAAAAACCTCTCCAAAAAAATAAAACAACAAAGATGATTTTCAGAGTATGTGTGTATAATCCCCAGTCCCAGAACCACACATTCCCAAATTCATTTTCTGTTACTCCTAATTAATTGTTCAATGGTTTGTTAAGCATCCATGTGCCTAGCCCTGTGCAAGTATTAATCATCTAAAACATAATTACACAGACTACGTAGGCTTTAGAATGCTGTCCTTGTGGTGGGGCAATGAGGAGGAGGGGTGCCTCTGTCCCTCTCTAGTCAGAGAGCAAGGGTGAAGTGGCCCAGAGCAGAGCTCGCCCCTCACACGTGCACACTTGATCTGTCCTGCAAAGCATGCTTGACCTGGAGCCCCGTGGGGGCAGACAATGTGTCCTTCTTGTGCCCCACACAGAGCATGACCTGGAGCAGGTGCTCAATGTCAGGTGAATAAATGACTAAAGAAGTCGTTTGGCCAATCCCCTGGGAGAACCTGGGCCGGTCACGTCAAGCTCTGTGCCTTCATTCCTTCACCTGTAAACGAGGATGAAAAAAGCACCACCCCCCATGCTGGCAGAGATGCCATGAGGTGGCATGAGGCTTCCTCTCACAGTGCTCACAAAGCTGGCTGGAAGGCCAACCCCAGCTCTGCAGGCAAAAAACAGGGACCAGGAACTGGCCTCTGCCCTTGCAGATGCGATCCAAGGATAAACCTCAGTCCAAACCTAGCGGCGAGCTGCTTTGCCTGGGGTGCCTGCATCGGCTTCAGGAAGAGGATAAGCCATCTAAAATTGTATGGCCAGATTCATGTGGCCTGCCATCTTACAGATCAGAAATGGTAGACGGGATATGTGTCTGAATAAATGGCCATCTACCGGGACCAGCAGTTAGCATAATGGCTATGTCGCTGGACTCCCACGCAGTTGACCGCGGTTCACGTTCGGGACCCAGTGTCTTAAACTCACGCTGGGTGCATGTGCGTGCGTGCCCAAGATCCCGAGAGGAGAATGGAGGAGAAGGAATTGCGGAGTGACCATCCCCTCTGGGGGGTGATTTCTCGCTTTCTGTCTCTCTGTCTCTGTCTGTCTGGTGTGCGCACACGCCCTATAGCAAAAACCTCTCAAAAAAAAAAAAAAAGGGGCCATCTACCTCCAAAAGTAACTGGCTAGAGCTTCAGAAAGAGCTTGGGATCTGCCCCTGATACTTAGAGGGATGAGTGCTCAAGACCCCACGCTGTGATGGATGAGCCATTTTTCAGAAGGGTAAACCGAGGCTATGAAATTAAGATCTGTCTGCAGTCATAGCAAGAAAATGGGCAGAGCAGATGCCAACACAGGTCTCAGAACTCAAACTTGTGCCCAGAACTCAACTTTGGACATGAACTTCAAACTTCAAATGAGCTTATTAAATACGATCCCGTATAATTCTTCAAGGAATGTGACATCAGGAGACAATTACCCAAGGACTATGGGAAGAAGGCCTTCATCACCACCCTTCGCCTTGGACAGAGCCAAGAAAACCTCAGGCTTGGTAGAAATATTAACGTGTCCATTATCAACCACTACCATGCCATCTGCAGTTGAGCACAAAAGCTCTTCCAATAATCATGTGTTCTCTTTTGTGGTTTCAAAAGTATTTTGGTGTCAGGACTTTGCCTTAGGGGAGGATAGATAGGATTTACAGACAGAAAACTGTCAAATATGTAGCCAGGCATTGCAAAAGTTTAATTCACAGGCCCAGAGCCTGTGAATTTTTCAACTCCTTATTCAGAAATGATTGAGGATTTCAAGACATCAAGAGCAGAGCTCTGAAACCAAGTTGGGGCTCAGTGTGACTGCACGGATTGTACACCCATGAAGCTGGCTCTGGTGGCTCTTTGGGAAATGGAGCAGAGACAGGAAGGAGAAGTTCTGGGAAGGAGAAGGAGAAGGCCAGCCCCCGACTGCTCTCCTTTCTGGAGACCATGCAGTCATGGGTCTAGGTCCTGCTTTCCTCCCTGAAGAGCCCAGGAAGCCCCATCAGCACCAGGCAGCACAGGAGGAGGCCACGCGCACGCAGTGGTCACTTGCCCCAAGCCATGTGGGGTGCCATCTGCCTTTGGAGGTCCTGTAGCACTGGCAGGGGAGGTGGCTAGAGCTCATGGCTGCCCATGGTTGGATCTAGGGCTCTCCTTTGGGTATGCCCAAGGAGTCTTTTTGGAAAGTTGTGAGGGTTCTAGTAGTAGGACACAGGATCGATTGTCAGGCAAAGTTCCATCTGGGTTCACAGGGTTCACAGGAGTTCAGTCAGCTAGCCAGGAGACGGGTCTTTCTTCCAGTGGACTGTTTTTGGGGAGGCAACGCCCTACCTCCCCAAGCTCTTTGGGGTTCAAGGAGTGTGTCTTAGGTCCCCATTAGCTATGGCCCAGAAAACTCCCTCTGGTTAACAGTGACTTGGTAGACCCAATGAGAGAGTCTTTTTTTTTTTTTTCTTAATTGCCAGAGGGTGGGCGTGTGTGCTCTCCAGAGATAGAAAGATAAAGAGAGAGAAGGCACCTCCCCATGGGGTGTGGTCACACTGCAATTCTCTCTCCATTTCTCTATTCCTTTGTGATTTCGGGCATGCACAGGGGCCTAATGTGTTTTCCAAGCTGTAGGGCTGGATTCCACCCATGGTTGACCTTGTGGGATCTGGTTCCCTCAACCACTAGGCTCTAGGGGCCAGCCCTCTTTTTTTTCCCCCCTTAAATTTATTTATTTATTTATTTATTCATTCATTCATTCATTCATTTTTATAAGGGTGAGAGACAGAGAAAGAAACACCCACAGTGAGGTTTCCTGCTGTCATTGCCTCCAGCCTTCCCAGCCAGCCAGATCCCAGGCACACGTGTGCCCGGAACATACAAGTCAATGGCGAAGCCAAAGTGGCAACCTTCCACACGGATCCGGCTGCTCTTGTGCAGCGCATTACTGCCCCACCACCATGGCGGCCTGTGAGATGGTCTTGTTCTTGATGGGACAGAACCACTCTTGTAGGTGCTTGCACATGTCTGAATACACATGCACAAACAGACAGACAGCTCAGGCTGATAGTGAATATCCTGGGTGAGCTGGCTGGCACTGCTCTGGAGTTATGCTTTCAAATCAAACACTAACATTTTCAAAACATATTTCCCCCCTCTCCCCTGTGGAACATGCCCATTAGCTGGTCTAAGCTGTGTGGGGGAGGGACACTGGCTGTGCCTTCCTGTGGCTACGATGACCATTCAGTCCTTAGGGCCTCCAACCAAGGTGCTTACAACAGAGCAGTGAGCTCCACGCAGCTGGGCCTTTCTGCTCTGCTTTAAGAAATAAAAATCCAGGTCACAGATTTTTATTTCTGTGAATAGGTGATGGGAGGTCACTCTGCATAGAAGCACACGTCTCTCATGCCTCCCACCAGTGACAATAATGGAATGACAACTACAGCACGGTGAGTACACACTGAGTGCCTTGTGCCACCTCATGGCATCTCTGCCAGCATGGGGGGTGGTGCTTTTTTCATCCTCGTTTACAGGTGAAGGAATGAAGGCACAGAGCTTGACGTGACCGGCCCAGGTTCTCCCAGGGGATTGGCCAAACGACTTCTTTAGTCATTTATTCACCTGACATTGAGCACCTGCTCCAGGTCATGCTCTGTGTGGGGCACAAGAAGGACACATTGTCTGCCCCCACGGGGCTCCAGGTCAAGCATGCTTTGTAGGACTGATCAAGTGTGCACGTGTGAGGGGCGGGCTCTGCTCTGGGCCACTTTACCCTTGCTCTCTGACTAGAGAGGGACAGAGGCACCCCTCCTCCTCATTGCCCCACCACAAGGACAGCTAAAGCCTATGTAGTCTGTGTAATTATGTTTTAGATGATTAATACTTGCACAGGGCTAGGCACATGGATGCTTAACAAACCATTAAACAATTAGGAGTAACAGAAAATGAATTTGGAAATGTGTGGTTCTGGGACTGGGGATTATACACACATACTCTGAAAATCATCTTTGAACTCTCCAACTTTAGCCTTTGCCAAAGCCATAAAAGACCATAAAGATAAGCC